ATTTGTAATAAAACCTTTTTTTTTTTTTTTCCCCCTAGTTAAACGTTGTGAGCTTTTACCTTGTTCTTTCAAAATGAATAGAAAGTTACTGCTGCCGGTGACGGGGGTGTTTGCCTGCTGTACCCGTGTGCTTGCCTGTTAATTGCCGAACTTTTGGGTTGTACTTCACCATTGGTTGGTGATGCAAATGGAGGCTGAAATCCAGGTGCCTGCTGAAGTCACTTCTCTAGGAGCCCCAGGCACCCTGGGCCTACAGTCTTTGTCATCCTGATCTCTGGTGCTCTCAATAATGCAGCAAGCCTTTGCTCCACCAAAGCGTCACCTGTCTAGGTGAGTCGTGCCATCCCCTATCTGAAGTGACAGCCATCTTTGAGTACCAGCATCTTAACTGACTTCTCTTTCATCATCCATGTTAGAGAAATAACATTTTCGACAAGGTGTTGGGTTTTCCCCCCCCTTTTCTTTATTCTTTCCCCAGCCCCCCTTCACCCCTTAGTTAGAGCACCTGATCAAAAAATTATTTCTGACAAAGATTTCCTGCTCCAAATTAAATGAGCTCAAGGAGACGGAGCATTTTCACGCAGAAAGAAAGTGAAACGTTGATGTTGGAAGTTAATGAATCTGGTAGCAGAGAGAACATTATTGAGACTGGATAATATGATCTAACAGCTTTCCCTCTTCTTATCCTCCCCGTAAAGAATGTATGGAAGTCAGTTATGTGGCATGATTCTAACATCTGTCCTACCCCATAATGGTAATTTGTATAAGTAATGGAAACAGGTTAAATACTTCCATTCTAATGTTGCCAGCAGGGATGAAAATGAACATTTCAATGAAATAATCTCGACAGAGCAGGGAGAGGAGGGGTGGATGGACTGATTCATCTCCAGCTCTCTTTGGTGATCCGAACACTAATGAGAATGCTTGAATGTATAGTTTATCAGATAGAAGGGGAAGAGCAAGTAAATTTCTCAGATTAGAATCACTGTGAAAATATACCCGCACGCAAGCTGCTTCGTTCTCCAGTTGCCAGCGTTGGCTAATAATTTGCGGCGTTCATTTTAAGGGGATAGGGGGGAGAAGAGAAGGAGGTGAAGAAATCTTTTTGTTGGTTTTTAATGGGTTGCCTTTAAGGGTTATCATTTAACCTGCTAGAAGCACGGAGGTTGTTCGTGTTACTGCACCTTATCTGCTTTTCAGGCCCCTTGCGTTAGAATTAGAGGGTAGGCAGCTCTAGTATTTTGCCCCCCATTTTGCTGCAATTAGAAATGAAAGGCACGAACCACTGTAGTAAGGTTATTTGGTTGTCTGATAGTGTGTGCTGCTCCTCAGCCATTGTCATAACTAAGCCATATTTTCCCACCGTAGTGACATTGTAATACAGACACACACACAGATTTGTAGCATCTGTGCCAGAATTTTGTATGAACATTTGTATATACTAATATAGAAAATTCACAAATCTTCCAGCAGGCGTGTTAACCTCTCGCAATGTGAGATTTTGGATTCTTTTGTAGAACTCTCACAGCTCCAAATTCTGGAAACGTATCTGTAAATTTGTTTGTTTGTTTGTTTCATTTTATTTTTTTTTCCTCTCCCTCTCGTTTTTCTGGAATGAGGGAGATGTGTGGCCGTAGATTGTCTTTTCTAGCCGTGCTTTTTTTTCCCCCAAGATGTGAAACGTGTTCTCGTGTGCAGTGGAAGTCACCCCCAGCCTGGAGTGCGGTTTGTGCAAGGTGACAGCGTGGGCTGTGAAAACTTCTGCAGCTGCTGTCTCCTGTTGGCTGGGTAAATATTGGAAGCTGTGGAAATACATCTGTTGAAGAACGTTGAACCTTCAGGTTGTGCCACTGTCGTTTAGTCCCAGAGCAGGCCCTAATTGAGTGAGGAATTTTAGGCTTAAACCCATCTCTATTTGTTGAAACTACGAAATATGTATTTCAGTGAAAATTGTTTCAGTATTCAGTTGCTTTACTGAACTGCGGCCTTCAGTGCTTAGGTGTTTCTTCTGAATAAATTTATGCATTTCGAGGATTTAAAATCAGGTCTTGAAGAGTTCACTACGTTTTAATTTTGTAGACTGTTAAAACCGAATACGATCGTTACTTTTTGTCCTTTTCAGAATAATATATTCAATGCTGAAACCCTTTTTGAATGGGAAAGAATACCTCCGCAGAGACAGACGCCTTCAAAAGCACAGGTCCGAGGTTACAGAAAGGTTTTATGTGAGAATATGTCTATTTTTAACCACATCCTTACATTTCGGATCTCTGTCTTCTTTTTCAAACAATGGATGTGTATTTATAGTGTAAATACTCTCACTGAAGCAAACACAATGTGCTGTGCTACTCACATGTACAATATATAGCGTCTCATGTCCACTTAGATTAGAATGCACAGCTTTTAACACTGCTCGGAGATGACAGTATATCTGTGGGGAAGCATTGGCATCCAGAAGGCACATTTTATAGGCAAAAAATATTAGCGAGACTAAATAAAATACAAACCGCTCCCCCTAATTTTTAGTTGTCGGGAATTTGAAGCTTTTTCCTCTTTTTCCACCGAGCGTTTGCCCGAGTCTGTGCATGCACAAATGAGAAGGAAAAGAAAAGCTGACGTTACGTTCTGCAGTTTCTTCGCTGTGGATGGAGTTTTTGTTGAGGAGGATCCTTGCTTGTGTCTGCTCTTGGTATTTTCGTGTGGTTTCAGGCTGTGTGTGAACCAGAGGTGCCTTTGCAGATGCAGGGGTAGCTGGAGGAGGTTGCTGAGAGTTTGTCGGTCACAGAAAGACACACTGCCTGCAGTCTGTCTGTCTGTGGATCTTCCTCTTGTAATTCAGGGGGAGAATCTGAGCATCTCGCGCTGTTATTTGACGTAGAATAATATTACTTGTCTCTGCAAGTCGTGATAATGGGAATATTTTTTGCGGTGTTTAAAATTCTGAAGCTTATTTATTTGCCAAATTTCGGTGCGAATTTTAGTAGAACATACATGGTTTTAGGAATTAACATTCTTCGTTTTGTGTGCTTCTGAATTAGCTGGAACAGAAATCTTTTCAGTTAGAGAATTGCACTGACCTTGCAAAATGCCATATGTTGAGTGTGCTGCTATTCGTCTTACAAGCATTAGTCGTCTTGAATGAAAAGGTATTGTGTGTATCCTACGGTAACTGAAGGAGTTAAGTAAAATCTTTCTGATTGCAGTGATAGAAACTAAACATTTTGGAGAAATGACTCTTTTTTTGGTGAAGAAGCGTTATTTCTTTGTATTATTTCAGATAGCAACTGTACGGCTATGTGGGCGTGCACATCGTGTATATTCAGGGTTTTTTTAGAGTCTGGCTTAAATTCTGAAATCACGGACCGTCAGGGTCCTGGCCACTTGTACGTTCTTAACTCTTGTAGTGCAGTGTGTATTGGTAAGGGGGTGAACTGAGTCGTGCAGCAGTCTCAGCAGAACCTAAGACTAGGAAAGCGATAGATGGATATTTCACCCTAACACTCAGTTTCTTTGCTTTGACAGTTTAACACCATCTTTCGTGTAGTTTTAACGTTTCTTGCGTGGTTTAGCTCCTTTTATTTTCATGGTAAAGTGCAAAAGTATGAGGATGGAGAAAACATGCCGTCATAAATAGAGGAAAATAAAAGAGGGCAGTGGCTCAACTGGAGTTTCTACTTAAGCAGATATTTAGATGGTTGTATGTAGCAATTATAAAAATACATATTTTTGTAATTTAGAATTAAGCAAAGGCACGTAAGCAGATAATTCACGTGGATTCTTACAAAATGCTGGAGCAACATTCAGCATCTCACAACAGTTTCTTACATCTATTTATTAAAAATATTGAGATGTGAAAATTAGAGAAAATTGGCGCAGTTCCACTGAGGTTAGTAAGAAGATAGCTGTTCGTAAAAGCTCAGAATGTGGGCCCCCTCAGTTCTCAGCTTCTACTCGGTGGCTGTCTGCTGATCATTACTAAGTTTTGTTGTTTTGTTGGGTTTTTTCCTAATAGAAATGCCAGATGGCAACTGTCCATTTTTATGCATTTTAGGCCTCAAGAGTTTTTTTTATGTTTTATTTAAAAGTAATTTCAGAGTCAGAAACCATATTCTTCAGTAACTGTTCTTTACTTTTCTGAAGCTTAAATATGTGTTGTCTTTTGCTGTTAGATGGGACTGAAAACAAGTGTGTTTAACGAGGGAGCTGAGAGGTCTTAGGCTGGAGCTGGGGCGGGGAATTCCACGTGGGCACCTCGAGTTCAGAACTGCAGCGGTACCGCCGTGCTCAAGGACCTGCGGGGCGTTGCAACAGCAGCGCTACTGCGAGGCTGGGAAGCTGACTGACTTCCTAGTCCTTTTGTTATTCCTGTGGTTTATTCTTCATTTTAGGGACTAAATGAGTTTTTAAGGATTTTTGGGGTTTTTTTCCTGGTTTTGTAGTGCTTTTCTAGCATCTTCCTGGCCTTTGGCTCCAGGATGATCTCTGCAGTGACTTCTACCGTGCTCGGTACTCACCAGTCCTTTTAAAACGGGTTAGAAACACCTGAGGCTGACGGACCTGTAAGGAGTTGGGCCCTGCTTAATGCTTTTTTAAAAAAAACAGAAGAACAAATTGTCTTCTGAAAAAAAATTGACACTTGGAGGACAGATGAAAGATGCGGTGGGCATCTTAAGGTTCGGCACTACCCCGGTACTGGATGGACTGCTCTCCTACTTTGTCTTGAAAGACCAGGCTGAAGTAATTAGGGGACTGAATTGCAAAGGTGAACACAGAACGCAGTACTGGACGTTATACTGTAATTTTCTAAGAAAAACCCAAACCCAAACAAACCGTGTTTCAAAGAACATTGATATCATAATGAGAGAAGATTGTTTTAATTTTTCAGACCAGAAGTTTCAGAACGTATTAGCAACTGTGTACAAAAAAAGCTCAACTTGTACTTAGGCTCCCCCCAGTTGAAGAAGACCTCAGCTTTGTTAACATGATAATACGTATTTTCTTCATATCTCACAGGAGCAGAAGTGCCTCTTTTTCTGGCTTTCTTTCAGTATTGTACCACGGAAGGACATAGGCCACGTTGCAGCATCGCTTGCTGCACAGTTCGCCTGACAAGGAGGCATTTTTTTTATTCGATTACTGAAAATTGTTCACAATCCATGTTTTCTACCTTGACGTGCTTATAAATGATCTACATTCCATTGTCATTGTGATTTTTTTTAAGCTTCTTTTACAAAACTGGAGGGAAATGTGTACAAGTATGTTTTCTGCTTTGCAGTGGAAGTGTACATTTATCACTTAGGTACATGTAAGCCACTTCTGTGAATTGGGCCCTTGGAGTAAATGTGTTTTGAAGTAATGGCCATCTGCTCATGAATATCACATTTGCTAGTTCAAAAAATAGTTTGATATAGACAAACACATAGTTTGCTAAGACTGTATAGTTTCACCAGGTAGCAATACAGCAGCAAAGTTTTGTGTTTACCATAAGCCAATGATCTAGCTGGGATGGAGACCTCGAGTTTTTGGTTTGTTGCTTTTAAAACTGAATCTCTAACATTCACTTTTAGTGTCTGACCGCTGTTTTCAAGATGGTAGATGCAAGACCCGCATCAGATCACACCAGGAGGCAACGTATCTCCTAGCCATTTCAGAAAACCCTCGTAGTCTTGCTTCTCTTTTCTTCACCCTGTAAAAATGAAAGCTGTTGTGCTCTCAGATGGACCCAGTACAGCCAGCCCCTGGGAGACCCCCAACAGCTGACCTGACGCGCTTGCCCCGCACAGCTCCATCAGAGTCAGGTGTCAGCGACACAGAAATGGCCCTTGAAGCTGTGGCCAAAGCCAGTTGCCAGAAAAGGCGGCGCTGACGAGCTGGAGTTGGCCGTGCCGAGGGTTCAGGGTGCGGGTCAGCTGCGACGTGCTGCACATACGTGGCGCAGCAAACAGAGCTCAGTGCCAGGCCATTTTTTGAGTTGAGAGAAACTGGTTTAGTAGGCTTTTTGTTTGATTTTGGTTTTGCTATTACGGTATCTACGGTGGTCCTGGCACATATTTTACTGCTGAAAAGTCAAAGTTTATTCTTAGGTAGCACGGATATCAGACTGCAACCAGGAGAGGGTCTGTGGATTTATAGGTGGGAGCGTGTGAGCGATGGTGAGTTTGGTTTCTGGGTTTATCTTCAAAATTTGTCTTTATGGTTACTGCTTTTAGTATATCTTCAAAATTTGTCTTTATGGTTACTGCTTTTAGTACAGAAGACAGCAACGATGTAAAATGTGCGTATTCGATAACTTTGTCTTGTTGTTCCCCCCCCCTCCATCTCCCCTCCTGTATTTTAGCATATGTTCCTGAGGAGGAATTGAAAGCAGCAGAAATAGATGAAGACAGTGTGGAAGATGATGGGCTGTCTCTGGACATCCAGGAGAATGAGTATTTGTGCAATGAAGAAGCGGAGATCAAAGAGGCTCAAAGCTACCAGAACTCCCCAGTCAGCACTGCAACTAATCAGGATGCAGGCTATGGTTCGCCGTTTAGTGAAAACAGCGATCAGCTGGCCCATTTCAAAAGCACTTCCTCTAAAGAAGAGAAAGAGGATCCTCAGTGCACAGACAATGTTTCCTATCCGCAGGACAGCTTGGCACAAATAAAAGCTGTGTATGCAAATTTGCTTTCAGAGACTTGCTGGTCCAGTTTAGCTTTGGACTTAAAGAAATCCAATCCGACCACCAGCAACAACGGAATCAGCCAGAATGAAAACACCGCCAGTACCGACACCAATGCCAATTCCCAGAGTACTAGTACGACCAGTACCAACACCAGTACCAGTACAACTACCAGTAGTACCAGTAACAGTACTAGTAACAGTGGTGGCTCAGGTTATGACTGGCACCAAGCTGCGTTAGCGAAAACTTTGCAGCAGACCTCGTCGTACGGACTGCTCCCAGAGCCTAGTCTTTTCAGCACAGTGCAGCTTTACCGGCAAAACAATAAACTTTATGGGTCGGTGTTCACCGGTGCTAGCAAGTTCCGATGCAAAGACTGCAGCGCGGCCTATGACACGCTGGTGGAGCTAACAGTGCACATGAATGAAACTGGACATTACCGTGACGACAACAGAGATAAAGAAGCTGATAAGACCAAACGGTGGTCCAAGCCTAGAAAACGATCACTTATGGAAATGGAAGGCAAAGAGGATGCCCAAAAAGTGCTGAAGTGCATGTACTGCGGGCATTCGTTTGAGTCTTTGCAAGACCTCAGCGTCCACATGATAAAAACAAAGCATTACCAGAAAGTGCCTCTGAAGGAGCCAGTACCAGCCATCACTAAACTGGTCCCTTCTACCAAAAAACGAGCACTTCAGGACTTAGCTTCACCTTGTTCACCTGAGCCAACAGGGATCGCTGCGGAAGCTTCCCTGGGTGAGTCTGCAAAGGATCAGAAAACTGCCAACCCCTACGTGACGCCGAACAACCGCTATGGCTATCAAAATGGTGCTAGCTACACTTGGCAGTTCGAGGCACGCAAAGCCCAGATACTGAAATGCATGGAATGTGGCAGTTCCCATGACACTTTGCAGCAGCTCACCGCTCACATGATGGTCACTGGTCATTTCTTGAAGGTGACCAATTCTGCTTCCAAAAAAGGCAAACAGCTAGTACTGGACCCTGTGGTGGAGGAGAAGATACAGTCTATACCTCTTCCACCCACCACCCACACAAGGCTACCAGCCTCCAACATTAAAAAGCAGCCCGATTCCCCAGCGGGCTCCACAAACTCGGAGGAGAAGAAGGACCTAGAGAAGGAAAAGGTGGTGGTCGGTGAAACAGAGAAAAAGATTAAAGAAGAGAATGAGGACTCTACGGAGAAATTTGAGCCAACGACTTTGTATCAGTACCTCAGAGAGGAGGACCTAGATGATAGTCCCAAGGGCGGAATAGACATACTGAAATCCCTGGAGAACACGGTGACGACAGCTATCAGCAAAGCCCAGAACGGAGCCCCTTCCTGGGGAGGGTATCCCAGTATTCATGCAGCTTACCAGCTCCCGGGAACGGTCAAACCCCTCCAGCCCGCGGTGCAGAGCGTTCAAATGCAGCCGTCCTACGCGAGCAGCGTGAAGTCTCTGTCGTCGGAACACAACGCGCTTATCCACTCCCCAGGCAGCCTCACCCCGCCGCCTCACAAGAGCAACGTGTCTGCTATGGAGGAGCTGGTGGAGAAAGTTACAGGTAAAATCAACGTGAAGAAGGAAGAAAAGCCTTTGGAGAAAGAGAAGAGTTCTCCGGTCAAACCCATGTCGCCTGCTGCTAAAGAAAACAAGGACTTCCCCAAAGCGGAAGAAATAAATAACAAGCAGCAGCAGAAGAAGAGCTCCGAGACAGAAGTCCAGAAGGTCAAAAAGGACAGTCCAGCAGAAGCACATACGCCGAATGGTACAGAGCCACTGAAAACAAAGGTGGCGAATGGCTGTAACAATTTAGGAATCATCACAGACCATTCCCCTGAGCCATCCTTCATTAATCCGCTGAGCGCTTTGCAGTCCATTATGAACACCCACTTAGGCAAAATTTCGAAGCCGGTCAGCCCCTCTCTGGACCCTTTGGCCATGCTGTACAAAATTAGCAACAGCATGTTGGACAAACCCATTTACCCGACCACCCCGGTCAAGCAGGCTGATGCTATCGACCGGTATTACTATGAGAACAGCGATCAACCGATCGATTTAACCAAGTCCAAAACCAAACCTCTCGTTTCCAGCGTGGCTGACTCTGCCTCCTCCCCGCTAAGGGAGAGCGCCCTGCTGGATATTTCCGATATGGTGAAGAACCTCACGGGGCGTTTGACACCCAAGTCTTCAACTCCGTCTACCGTGTCGGAGAAGTCTGATGCTGACGGGAGCAGTTTCGAGGAAGCTCTGGACGAACTGTCGCCGGTACACAAGAGGAAGGGCAGACAGTCCAACTGGAACCCTCAGCATCTTCTGATCCTTCAAGCCCAGTTTGCTTCCAGCTTGAGGGAGACCCCGGAAGGCAAATACATTATGTCGGACCTAGGTCCGCAAGAGCGGGTACACATCTCTAAGTTTACTGGTCTTTCCATGACCACAATTAGCCACTGGCTGGCCAATGTGAAGTATCAGTTAAGGAGGACAGGTGGAACTAAATTTTTAAAGAACTTGGACACAGGACATCCTGTTTTCTTTTGCAATGATTGTGCCTCTCAGTTCAGGACTGCTTCTACATACATAAGTCACTTAGAGACACACCTAGGGTTTAGTTTGAAGGATCTGTCAAAGTTGCCGCTTAATCAGATTCAAGAACAGCAGAATGTTTCAAAAGTCCTCGCCAACAAGACTTTGGGCTCACTTGGAATTGCCGAGGAGGACTTAGGCTCCACATTCCAGTGTAAGCTCTGTAACCGAACTTTTGCGAGCAAGCATGCAGTCAAACTGCACCTTAGTAAAACACACGGCAAGTCCCCCGAGGACCACCTGATCTATGTAACTGAGTTAGAAAAACAATAGCGTCCAGGTAAGCAGCCAGGTATGCAAGTGACCACAGGAACATTGCACTAAACTTCTTCATAGTACTGCACTAGGCCTGACCTGAGCCTCTGAAATCAGTCTTACTTTTGTTGCTGAACTGCCTATCTGGACCTTGGTTTTTCTTACGCTTATTTTGTAGTTGTATTTATATGCTCTTTGTCCGAATCTGTGCATGGTTATTTTTTTGTTTCTGTTTTTATTTTTTTTTTTGGTGAGTCAAAGTCTGACCTTTATTTTCAACATCTGTCCTTGATGTTAAGCTATCTTTTGTAGAATATAGTGGGAGACACTATTGAGAGACATTAATTTAGCCGTAAAGAAAGACACAAAGAACAATGATAAAGAGACATCCTAAAATTACAAAGTTGCCATGACAATAAAGGTCACAGAACCTGGTAGTGTCAAGTTTTAACCCTCTGAGAACTGTAATAGCATTTCTGTGCCTTTCCCAGTGACTAAATAAGTAAATAAGGAAAAACAAAACAAGAGGCTTAAAGGCATTTCGTTCAAATCGAAGCTGTGTCGGAAGCAGAACTTATTTTTTTTAAATGAATGAATGAGCTTTTTTTTTTTTTTTTTTTTTTTTTT